GCATCAAATGCTTGGGTAATATCAAGGAAAATGACGGCGTGCCCGTAATTAGCTTATTCGGCTTCATCCAACGCTGAGACTGGATCCCCAGTGACATCTGAAGTACAACGTCGACGGCGGAAACCAGAGTGTTAGTTGTTCAGGGATCGTCAGAACTTCATAAAAATGGCCATGAAGTACTACGTTGTTCACCTATTCATATCGGCCATTGTTACAAACCAGTCGCTCGTGCTGTGTGAACCATCAGAAGTTGACATCATGTTCAACACGCTAATGAGCAGACGAATCCGAAGCATAATTCTGCACTTCCCCAGCCCATCCAGCACAGCAAGCGACCGCATCGACGAGGTTCTCTCGCGGACACTGAGGACGTCTAGTCTGGTCGAGATTTGGACGCAGTACCGAGATAACGAAATGAGAGTGCTCCCGAAACATTCCAAGAACGACACAAACGTGGCTATGCTAGATCCATGTTCATCGACATCAACAAAAGAAGCCATTTTGAAACGCATCAAGCGCCAAGTTATCTTCACACCCTTAGTGAAGTGGTTCTTTATTATAAAGTCAAACGAAAGAGTATAAGACGATGATCCAAAAGAAGCAGGTTGCTCGATCACTGCGGTAAGAGGCTTCGTGAACATCGATACGCGAAGCGACAGCCATCGGAACTCCATGCAAAGAAGATCCGAGATGGCCCACTTTTTTTCCAGCAGCGCGACGAGAGACTTGTCGGCTCTAAAGGGGAAAATGTTCCTCGTCGCGTATAAATTAGTGACGTCCAAAGGTATCTTTCCACCGGGAAACTATAATTATCCAGACATTATTGGAGTAATGAAAGCGCTACCTTCCCTAAATATTACAGTTTTGCCTCGACTGTGCACCTTGAGTGAAACCAGCCCGGATTACATGAGTTTAGACCTCATGAGTAAACAATCTGACTTCATCGTTCTTGCCTCAATTGAGCCTAACGACAGGTACCGCTATATTTTTTGAGAGCCATCACCGAATGCGTTAACATCCGATTTTTCAGTCTCGCGCAGTCGACGCTAAACTTTAGTGTCGTGGACTACGTCATGATGTCAAATGTGCTGGTAGCATGTGCTGGTAGCATCATTATTGTCCAGCCCGCTTACACCTTTGCATTTAATTGCATTATAATCATAACCTTAAATTGCATCACCCTTGTTGCTCAGTTGGTAGAGCGCTCCACTTGTAATGGAGAGGTCCCGGGTTCGATACCCGGACCAGGCGGATTTTTTTCGGTCGCGCACCAGTCACGTAGCTGTGTTTGGAGATTTATGTTTGTCCTTTGTCCCTCTTGTTCCCCTTCTCCAGGGATTAGTTTCATCAGCATGTCTAGTGTTGGGCGTTTTAGCTGTGGTCGTGTTTCATGGCTTAATAAGCCGCCTCCTGAGTCGGCGGGCGGACTTGGGAAACGTTTGTCCTCTTTCTGCGGTTATTTGAAAATCGACCCCTTTGCCAACGTCCCGCACGCATCGAAGAACCTGTCATCTTTGCATGGCATGGCTGCTGGCGATGACTTGCATAGGGGCATACATCCAGTCGGCCCTAACCTCAAAATCAGGGATGGGCAAAATACATGCAAATATGTATCAAAATACAAATACAAAATACTTCGTCAAAAATGTATTTAATTACATATGTAATTACATTTCCAAAAGAGCATTTCAGTACAAGATACGAATACAACCAAATGTATTTGGTCTCCTCCAAATACTCCAAATACATTCCTCAAAATTTGCGTCAGCGACTTCAGGGCACCTCAACGGGTTTCTGGGTATCTCATTATAATTTTGCATCGCACACTTGGGGGTTAGTGTGCGAGGCTCTAGTAACGCAATAGAAATATAATAAAAAAAATGTAATCAGCTTGGACGTAATAGGTGAAAAAAGTACAGAGCTTCAAGCAGTTTGTTTTGTCCATTACATTTTGGTATAGACCAACAAAGAACCGAGACGACCAAGACGCGCAGCACTAGCCAGAGAATTTTTTATTGTTGCAACTCGCACCAGTTACGAAAATCTGGACGACCCGCGCATTTAGATTTTTCCAGGCAAAACTATGGATGGAAATCAGGCTGGAAAGCATCACAAGTTGTCACAGGCACTTATTTAGACAGTCTGCCTGTGAACGTCGATTTCGTCACTGTTCTTCCCCTGGACTAGCACCGTAATCACAAAGTCACTAAACGCTTGTGCTTGATTGAGAGACACTGCATTCGGTGCAGAACGTAGTATTCTTCCTGCTCTGGACACGTCTTAGGATGAGCAAAATGAGTCCTGACAATACATTTAAGGGATGTATTTTCCGTCACAAAATTGTATTCAATTACAATTGTATTTGAAATACCCACGTTTTGGTATTTAAATACACACGTCAAATACATTACCCAATTTGTAGTTAAATACAAATGCGAAATGCACAAAGTATTTGAAATACGTATTTCAAATACTGCCCATCCCTGCTCAGAATCTACGGTGCTGCCAGTTACGAGCAGCATCGACACGATCCCGCAGTTGCAAAAGCTTGTGGAATCGGTACAGATGCTTTCGTGCGTGAAGAAAGACGACTTCGGGCAACGGTACCTCGTAGCCCGTGGAAATTCCTTGGCTCCCTGAACGATGCACTGGCGGAGGATCCTGATTCCTGCATCGGCGACGTCGAAAGGGAAGAGCGTTTTCAGAGAGCTAGTCAGCGTACCCACGTATTTATCGACGCTGTATTGGGTTACTTTGATTTGCGCGTGGCTTTTGAACATGGATTGGTTGCCTCGAGCGATACCTTCAGTTACACTTGTCACGCAGTGCTTGCTGCCAAGAGTTTTCCGTACACTCGAGAGCTCGTTGTCTTGCAAGGACCGTCACGGAATCGGGCCTCATAGACTCTAAGCGACGGAAGGAGGTTTGACAGGGTAGTCCGCTGTCCAGTTGCCGAGGCGCCAAGGAGAAGACGGCTTTTGTCAATGGATATTTCAACCTATATTTGTTCGGAATCCTTATTAGCCTGGCTAGTGTTTTCGTGAAACTCGTCTGTGCACGCCTCAAGCATTTATTCTTCAGTTGCACGTCTGTTGTTAAGTCCACATTGCCAAAGCGTGTGTGGTCAAATGAGGCTCTCCAATTCCGTCTCAATCTGCATGGTGAGCGGCATCAGAAGGTCGCATTTATTTTAATTTAGGACACGAATAACTATACTAAGGAACAATTGTTCGCAGAGCATGTTATTTGATTGTTACCCGTCGCATTTCTTTTGGTGCAGTTCGCACACTTTCCCGCTCGAATGCAATCTGGACGAAGTTTATTTCTTTCAATTATGCTGTAATTTTAGATGTTGACTGCAACGGAGTGTCGTGTTCGCCTTTTATTTCTAACAGGTGTGACCCCATCCCTCCTTCTCCTTTTCCCAGGTACGGAGGCTTACATCACCGATAGATAATGGATTGGTAAGAAATGCAGATAGTGCTAGGAACACTTGAACAGTATATTTGTGAAATGGCAACAAAATCGATAGATGAAATGCCTGAAAACAGGGACACTTTCAAGTGAAAACGTGCGCTTCTGCGAAAACACTCGGAGTGATTTTATTGGAGTTAATGTACTTACGCTACTTTTCTATCACCAAAGCACACGTTGTATCCTCTTGTGCCGAAGAAATGGTCAGGAACGCGTCAACTGTGCATATCCCCTAGGCTATGCCTTTTTTCTGTGCACCGTTACTTGATGTCAGAGGACGACCACTCACGGAGAAGAGAGGTAAAAAAACTGAGTAACTCGTTCTGCGTCCAGGTCATATGAGCAATCTGGAGCTCTTTGTAAACGCACCAACGCCATGTCAGAGGTTTTCTCACGCCACTTTACAGGTTTGTCTTTTGTAGAATCGTCCAACGTGCAATCAAGCACCGTCAAGAGTTCACCGTTTTGGCACTCATCGTCTTTGTGCGTTTCCAATCACTGATTAAACCAATCACGCACCGGGAATGAGCCTCGTTCCTGCGCAGCTCTTGTGTGCGATTGGCTGAACCGATTATACAAAAGATAAATATGACTCCGTGTTTAGCAAAGACTGTTCTGCATCATAAACGGTCAAGCCGCTGTGAAATTGTTTTCCTGTGCATGGATGGAGCGGGGGATGAACTTACAGCACAGGACAGGTTGCTCCGCAAAAGTACGTTCGACACGAAGTGCCATCACATTTTGTAGACAGACCAACTCTTCTTGAATAAACGTTCACAACCTCTCAGCTTACGGCTTACAGAAACGTGCATTCATCGGGTTTGCATTTGTGAGGGCATAACCTCCTATACACTGACAAAGCCCGGCGGATGGCCACGAGAAGCAGCCGCCGAAATGGAAAAGGAGGTGCGACAGACAGCGGATGAGAGGAGAGCCACGTGACTGGCGCCCCGTTGCGGCGAGACGCCGAAACATACTTTTGCCGAGCGAACAAGTGTGTTTCGGGTCCTCGCGGCGCTGCAAGAGCTGTGCACTGATGTCCAGGTTCCCCGAGGAATGGCTCGTTGATGCTCTGTGCTACCAGACCTTCGCGCTCCCAATGTGCGACCGGGCACTCTATGGCCCCGTCGTCGAACTGCCAGGCTTTGTGAGTATAGAGGAGGCTATGGTGAGGATTAGGTGCGCTGACCCCAACTGCAATCTTACTCAAGGTGCGAAATAAACCCTGTATACACTTCGGGTGTTTAGAAATACGCACCCTCCTGCTCACGTGCTGCTGGATTTGCCAAAGCAAGCAAAGCCCCACATTCGTGCGCACTTAAAATTTAAATATCCAGAAATTGTTTTTATGAAAGCAGCATCAATACGTGCAAATGAAGAGAGTTTCGGGGTACCTGACCTCAAGTGTAGGAGTCGGGATGCAGCCAGAATATTTTCATCTGCGATAAAACGATAAAAAGATGCTCAGAATGTGCCGTGCCCCCCGTTTCTTAAGCTGACGGAGACCAAGATAACATCACCGATTATTGATATTGACTGATGATCATTTTATTGCAAGCCAAAATTTTCCCGATATCCGTGTGTCCGATTAAGAGGCCGGCAATGACGCCGGCTGCTGAGGTAAGTCAACAATATTGTAGGGATCGGCCTAAAGTCTCTTAACAGAGAGGTCAGATGAGGGGTGCCAGGGAGAGGTTTCGGTCGACGGAGCAGGGCAGCCGGAACACGTTACTGTAGGACTTGAACCACTTGTTGGCGACTGCACGAGAAAGGAACCGCAACTGTATACAAACCGTGTGATCTCCGAGACAAGACTCGTGTTCTTTCGCTCGTTCAATACGTGGAGAGTTCACAAAAACTGGCCACAGCCAATCAGACCGCGGCCGATGCCGCCGTCTGATTGGATACGGCATCGGCCGCAGTCGCAGTCGCCACAGAAATATATTTTTGTTTGCCAAAAATGCATTGATGGAGATTGCCGTGTGACACGGGCACTTGTCATGGTGCACCTTCCAAGTGCGTGCTATATACCTGGTCGCACACGTGCCACCCCCTTTAGAAAGCCTTTTATGGACTTCCTGATAAAACGTTTGATTGGCAGTTTGTCCTGGAGGCACAAATTCTTCGTTTACATACCCCAGTCTGTAAAAACAAAAACAGATGAGCATTGATTGGATTTTCTATATAATGGTACAACTTTGCTCAAAAATTTTGACGGTTCATTTTTGTAATGCACCTCCCAAACGCAACTTTAATTGAGACGCTTTCAGCGATCGCGTGGCAACTTTAGCAAGTTCAAAGTTATGCTGAGTCTACGGCAGGGGTACCTCGTTGCCATGAGGAGAGGGAAGCAGCAGCATTTTTGGCTCATGGACAGAGTTACCAGTCTGATTACTTTTCTGCTACACCATGTATCTAGTTTTGTAATAAGTTATTTCCGTGACGACGCGCTACAGTATCATTTGTTGGAGTTATTTATGAGTTCGCGTCACGCATAAACAAACCAGGTGGCAGTCAGAAAAACTCCTAGGCTTTCGCAATAATGGTGGAGAGACATGCTTTGGTACACACATTTCCATAACAGCGTCTGAGGGCGCGTTCATTGCTGTGTTAGTGTGTTATGCACGCGCTAGCTGTACTTTGATTTAGCATGTGTGGAGGATCCGAACCCGTATGGTTACCTCTCGTGAAGTCATTGCCTTGCGAACTACGATTTCGATGGTGTTGGGAATGAGCATGGTGGAAGCTTGAAATCACTGCGCTTTGAAACCATCACTGCCAACACCGCCCAAATTGAAGTTCTTACATTCTTATTATTTCTGTCGATGAGGAATCCCTTGCCGAATTGCATAGTGTGTTAAAAAAAATAGATTTACTATATACATTGGATGATCGAATCTGCTGGTGTAGGTAATCGTGGTCATTTGTTCTTCTTTTTCGATCTGTCCCCGCGCGAACCGTTTGTCCGTCTTCCTCGTGTTTGTTAACCTCATATTTACACGGACAGTGTGCTACTCTTTCCCGTGATGAGCGATCAAATGCATACAATTCACAAAAAGAAGCACTGCTTGGTACAAAAAAAAAAATGGGTACTCTGAGCAGAGCAGATCAGAGCCGTCGCACAAACCTTCAAACATAAAATATATTATTTGAGGCTTCCACTTACTTATTGATGAAGCGTTTGTTCTACTATCCGCTGTCGTTGGAACCAGCAGAAAACAGTTTGAAAGAGCACACGGCAATTTGAACGGTCAGACGGATGTTTAAACTTGAAGACCCACTCAACGTGGTCCGTTGGTGCAAGTCCGTATAACTTGACAGCTTTTCCGCGTTCATGTTAGAACAGAAAAAAAAATCTGACGCGCACAGGTTTTTGTGAATTCGACCCAAACACGCTGTCGTACAAGCAATCGTGGTCCGACGGTATCTGGTTTTCTTTTCTCGCACTTACACAGGTTCTCGGACGAACCGAGAAGGCGGAAGGCACATGAAAAGTTATGTTCACACCTTTCCCGGTCCTTTCGGTACAGCTACAGTCATGGCGCTTTGACGAAAAATCAGGTTTTAGTTTGGTTTGTTTCAAAAGACCACCGGAATGCCCATGCCGCAGGGCGACTTTCGCCCACACCTCCAGGGCGGAAGTGCGCCCGAAGCGCCACCACCGCGGAATGACGTCGCAGCGTTGAGCAGGTGTATTGAGTAACTTATAGGCCAACGTGCTGTTTACGAACACGCCCAACGAAGTCAGGGCACAGTCGGAGTTTTCACACGACCGTACTGCGCGAGCCCAGGAACCAGATTTGCGTGAAGTGGAGCGTCTGCGCATTCGCCCTGCCAATGTGGAGAGCAACTCGTCTGCTTTTTGCGCGCAGGAGTTGCGGTGAAGCGAGAACGATGCGGAGCTCTTATTGGCTGATTGAACATAGTGAGCAGACCTCAAGGCATCTAGCATTGAGCTCTATACCACTATCCTTTCAATCAAAGCCAATCGGAGTCCGGCGTCGTACCGACGTCACCGCAACTGCTGAGGAAGAAGCAGACGACTTGCTCTCGGCATAGTAGCGCCACCGCTCTAGCGCGTCGTCAGTGCAGTATATTGGTTTCTATAAACTCACTCCACTTGGATCCGTAAAGAACGGGGCAGCCGGCGTGCATCGTGAGCGTGTCTCCTTCCCCGCTTGCCTTCAGGTTCCACCAGAACGCGGCATCACCCTGCAAAACGTAATTTCCTGCTAGGACCAACGCTATAGTACAGTGAACTAGAGGAGGGGTAGTGAGATCAGGCACCGACGCGCGCCATGCAGGGCTGTAAAGAGGCGAGCGTTGAAAGGCCACGGATGTATGCGGCGGCGCTGCGGTGTAGTATCGGCTGGTGGATCGGAGCGTTCCGTGGGCCTCCGGCGAGCAGGTCTGGCTTGGCGCTTTGGCAGTGCGAACTGGCTTCCATCCAGATGTTTCTCCCATGTCTTCAGTAGCTTATGTTGATTGAAGTAGAATGCCGAATCGACTGCGACAACAACGACGACCACGACGACGAGGACAACGTCAGTAGCGCAGAAAATGCTATGCTATTCCTGCGCTCCTACAGCCCATGTTTTAATGGCGCCCTCTCGTGCATCCGACACGATGTGCGGCAGGCGTGAGCGCTCGCTGGGCTCTCTACCCCTTCTTTAGTTCACTTTAGCTATAGACCCTTTACAGATTGGCGCCACCATCTTACATTGCCGTCACTTCCACTAGGGCGAAAACAGTGTTTTCCCGCCCTCACGCCAATAGAAGACATCTAGGATACCTCTTTGTCTATTTATTTATTTCAGTATCCCATGGGCCAGAAGTCATTACAGAGGGGAGGGGCAAGTACAAAACATAATACAAGAATTATATCAAATACAAATATTTAACAAGACGACAAAAAGCAGTCAGGGTGCCTGCTGACAGAAATGGTTGGTTATTGCATCTCTATGAGCGTAACCGTCGCACAATCTCGTTTTTCCTCCCCTATATATTTACTTTTTACAGGTTAAAAAATTTTGTTATTTTTGGTCGCCCACACCGGATACACCTATTATGTGGCTGAGGACGAGAGTACACTGAACAAGTCTACAGTGTCTGGAAATGATGCCACACACACTATTTACACTATTTATTTATTTTCTTTTAGAAGCCACCATTTGAAATATAGCTTAAAAACAAAAGGTTCCAATCCTTTTTTTTTCTTCACATTACAGTATTATCGTTTATAGATTCTTATTTCTACACTCTAAAAAAATATCTTCTTTGAAGTGTTCTTCGACGCCCCAAACACTCTTCCAGCTCATGAAAAACGGTTTGGCCTCAAGCACTTATCGCCCCCTGGCGCACTGGAAAGTTATCTGGGCGATGAAAAACTCTTTCGTATCAAAAATGGGGGAACTTTTACATAACTATTTCTTCTTCCTCTTTCCTTTATTTACCGTTCTCCCAAAAGGCAGGCTGCGACTTGCCCTGACTGGAGGCACACATAGCTCCTGGCTCACCCCCTTTCTCTTCACCCCAAAATAAACAGACAAACAACAACAAAAAGAAGAGCTTTAAAGAACCCCTTATAGGATTTTTCACGAAAAAAACTTTTAGGGGTTGCTAAAAAAAAAAAAAAAATTAGGGTGCAAAATAAGGACAAGCCCAAGAACATCAAATATCGGGGTCGCACTGCTTATGCATCATACAAAATACCGTCTGCAAACAAATTCCAAAGCAAATCACGAGATCCGAGCTTCGAATGCCTCATGGCAATGAGGTCAAGGAGAAACTCGGCATGCGGCATTCGAAACAAGGATAGTGAGGCGACTCGTGATTGCAGACCGTTTTCTGTATGACGTATACGAGCAGTGTGACCTTTTTACGTGTGTACTGCCGATTTTTATCACGTGTTTTTCAACCTACTTCCACGGCTTCGCGTTTTGACCGTCAGGCGCTGTGAATATCTGATTCTCTCTTGAAGGCCGGAGAGTGAACCTGTCGCCACGGCTTTTTGTTCTAGCCGCTCGGTGCCATCGATTTCGCTAGAGTCGCCATACAGGAGATGTGTTCTTTGGAACCCCGACCTCCAGAACGAGCTGAGTGCCTTCGGCCGTGCTTTGGCCGCGTGCGCGTGCTCCAGGAATACGAGAAGCCAAAGTGCTGTCGAAGGTATAATGTACCTCTGTGTTCTTGTCGGCGGATGCCGCAATCCTATTGGCTGCTGAGCGTTAATAAGATGTACGCCCAGTCCCTCTTTTCTTAAGTTCTCGCTGCCTATTGGCCAACGCGTTGCTTACAAGCAAATGCTGCGTTTCGCTCACACGAGGTGCGGGAAAACGCGCAGTTCTCGCTCGCGAGGTGTGGTGGGTATTGCGCATGAGCAGAAACCATATTTGCGTGAAGTAAAGCGTTCTGCATATGCGCCATGTCAACAGCAGCGCCAGCGCAGCTAGGTGACGTCACAACCGCTGTTGCTTCTCCGTAGAGCATTTGGTCTGTTGGGTGACAACGCGAAAGGTAAATAAAGGAAATAGTTTAACCTTTTTGGGTACCAGTCTTACTCCGAGTCTTGGAAAGACTGTGGCTCCGCCCTCTTCGACGTCGGTCATCTGCAACCAACAGGGACACATTTTTGTATTCAATCGGTGATGTAGAAATGATGGTGTGACCTTTATTGACATCTGCTTTAATTTTACCAGCTTTGCTGCCGATTTCTTTTGCCACTAAATTCGGATCCCCGGTTGCACGAACATATTTATTCATATTAAAAGAAAATCGAGGTTTATAAATAATTGTAAGCTTCCGTTGCCAAACGGAAGTTTCGACCTGCATTTACGTGATATCTATGCGGAGAGCAAGACGTTTGCTTCTTGCGCAGGAGTTGGGGTGACGTCACAACCACGTCGAGCTCTGATTGGCTTTGATTGAAAGGATAGTTGGTAGACATAATGCTGGAGGACTTGATGTCTACTCACCATTATTTTCAATCCGCCAATAAGAGGTCGGCGTTTTGACATCATCGCAACCCTTGCGCTGGAAGCAGGAGTTACGCTCCGCATTGATGTAAGAGGTCTAAACGGCGCGCCTCTAGTGGCTAACTTGAAAACTATAAGCGCATGAGAACACCAACGACATGATTTATTTGTTGGCGCTTCTGACGCTTAGCTGGTGTTGCTGAACACCGCGTCCGCGTTTGATCGAAGAATGTGACGTAAAGAATTCCGTCCACGGGCCTTGTATTGGGTAAACACCGAGGTCTCTGGAAAAAAAACTGGAAAAAGTGTCTCTCATATAACTCAAACTCCTTGCCGAAAGCGGCGATACTAGAATTGGTAGAAACAAATATATATACCTTGGGTAGGACACAAAATTAAACGGATAGAGTATTCTTGAAAATGAATGCTCATAGGGAGGCCGTATACCTTCTGGCGATTATTTGAAAATTCAGCGGATGTTTTGTGGTTTTAGTTCATATCTGCTGGGACCATCAGACAGCGTCAAGAGCACGCTGTTTGGACTTAAGCTGAAACAAATTATAAAAAAAACACCGATCTCACCCCTCCTTCCCCTCCCCCCCTCCCCCCCCCCCCCCTTCCCCCGATATGTTTGGGCCCAAACAATATGAAGGACACTTCAAACCACCCAACTAGTCCCCACAAAGAGGGAGGTCAACCTCCAATGTGCAGTCTACAAAAGGTAACAGTGAAGCCAAACTTTTGGGGTCAAACTGGAGGTCAAAGTAACCAGCACTGACAGTGAAAACGTATCTCGATTACCAAGAGACCTTGGGAAACGTATCGAGCTATGTTGACAGTCATCCAAAAGCAACAACGATAAAAACTAGAAAAAGAAACCTGTTTGACGGACGTCTGCATACTACTTTTCCGGTGAGAAGAAAAAAAAATGCCCCTTGTAGGAAATTTTTTTTAAATTCATGTTTTTTCGGTTTTAATTAATTTTTTAGTTTCTACACCCGCGCATGTTTATCGTTGGTTTTCGGTTAAATCCGGAAAGTATAGGGCATACTCAAAGGCTACTTAGTATATACACCACTTTTCGCAATTTTGAGACGTTTTGTAATTTAAATAAACAATTTTCAAACTTTGATGCTTTTCATCTGGCGAGCAGGCAATACTGCCCAAGTTATAATTGGTGACAAGTTCAGAGTGAAATGGTATCTCTTTTCACTTCTTTCCACTAGAGCAGAGCAAATGCTGGAGAGGAGGTAGCCTCCTTTCTAGCGTTTGCTCTTCCAAAAGCGTGAGAGGGAAAGAGCTGGCTTCACTCTTAACCTCTCATCGACTATAGTCATACCCCGGTGCCCATACACAACGTGATCCTGAACGATCTCTTATTCTAGGCGACCCCACGATACCTCAAGCTCGCCTCGCCCACAATACGATCAAAACTTCTCACACAACTCGACTATTCCAACTCTACTCTCGGTCTCGCAAGCCGGTCCTTTGATCTTCCACCTTGAATGCACCTGCGAGATCGTCACGTACTGCGAAAACCACGGTGAGTTGGTCCGTGACGATCTCGTCCTCGCGAGAGCTGGTCGCGAAGGGGTCGCAGTCGAAATGACAAGCTTCCGACATCTCTTTAAAAAAATCCCTCTAATCGCTGCTGCGATCAGTGTCGAAGACTTCGACGAAGCGAGCGATACCGTAGACGTAATCGTCACGAACCTCACGCTCGAACCGCGGAAGGTAAACCAGAAAGAGAAAGCTAGAAACGCAGAGAGAGCCAAATCTGTGAGAGCATGCAACAAGACGCCGCGTGTTGGGCTGATAACGTCACTGACACAACAACCACGGTGGCCATTTCGAATAGGGAGGATCCCAGGGTCCCGCATATAAATCGATATATCTACGAAACTATCGCGCCATTCCCAAAACAATTTTAGCTCAAATATAGGAGTGGGCAATGGGTCCTAGCCGTATAGTTATCTCATATTTTATGTTTAGCATTTCCTAACGACTTTAATGACGGCCTCACTGTGAGCAGCCGCGGCGTTGCAGAGAGGCGTGTGGTTTACACTTTGTAAGGTGACGGCGATAAGCCGAGTTTGAAACAGCCGCTTTCACATCTCTACGGGAGGGAAAAAGTTGTGTTGCGTGTATATTTAGACATCGCGAAGTTGGTCAGCCTCAATGGACGTCTGGCGACTTCGTTGTAGATGACATATTTAGCCAGTGCAGTACCACCGCTAGCCTGGGGACTGCAACGTGCACTATGCAGTAGGGATACATGACTGCCCGCCGGTACGTGATGCTCATCCAGATCTAAACGAGCTGTGGTGGGGATTGAACCAAGAATGCCTGGGTCCTGCAGCGCACGAGCTTTTGCTCCACGTGCTGAGGTGTGTTAACTCGGCCAACGATATCACCCCAAAACGAACCGAAAACACCGAAAAAAACGAATACTATGAACGTGTCTTATTCCGAGCTTTTTTTTTTTTTGTGCTTAAAACACCCGTGAATTTATTTTACTGAACATGGCATAAGCTCAACACGCCAGGACGAGGTATTCATTTAAAACAAAATATTTATATGTTTGGTATTGAATGTGAAAGTTGGGAATATTTCAAAGAAAACTATCGAGCGCCCGAGAAAATAAAAAAAGATGCTCACTTACGTAGATCATAAGGGTGGCCAGCCTGTCTCCTTCATTATTTTGGAGGTAATAATCGGCCGTCTGCAAAAGTAACGACATATGGTTTCTTCTGCTAATCTATTTTGAGGACGGAGCAGATTGTGCGGTATTATCTGCTCTTCCAGAAGGCGTCGTAACTTTAAAAACACACACATATATATATATATATATATATATATATATATATATATATATATATATATATATATATATATATATATATATATATATATGTGTTTTTAAAGTTACGACGTCAAAGTTACGACGTTGTCAAATATATATATATATATATATATATATATATATATATATATATATATATATATTTGACAACAACATTCACCTTGAAATGGCGAGCGCTCTTGCATGAGTCATGCGTAGAAAACTATAAACGTATGCATCTTGCACTTGCGTCCCTTGGTCGAACGTAATGGCGGAACAGGCGCGTGAGAGCATAGTCTCCGCCGCGTTAACGAGGCGCTTCTGGTCACCAGAGAGAGGGGCAGACTGACGTCACGTGAAAGTCACGTATAAGACACCAATTCTGAGCGCAAGTTGGTCTGCTTCTTGCACAGGGGTTGCGATGATGACACAACGCCTAGCTCATATTGGCTGATTGAAGAAGATAGTGGGTAGACCTCAAGGCATCTGGCATTGAGGTCAACCCATCATTCTCTCAGTCAAAGCCGATCAGATCTTGGCGTCGTTCTGACGTCACCACAACCCCTGTGCAAGAAGCAGGCGCCTTGCTCTCCGTATATTTGACGACGAAGTCATGAGCTCGGTGCCTGAAACGCGTCTTCGACCGGTAGGTCTGGCGTCCTATCCCGCCCATAAATGAGAAGTGCTCCCGAAGCGGCAACATTCACAGAAGCCGGTGTGTCGTGCTGTCGGATGTCGCGGTCTTTGCGGTAGACACCGCAAGTTCCGGGGAAAATGTTCGAGCAAGCGCGTGTGTCCCCGTCGTTGCCGAGTCCGCGGAAGCTGCTGACAGCTTCCGTGGACTGTCAAGCAGAATAGGCGTCTGCCACCTGTACCACAGCTGCTGTAACACCGCCAGGAGTACGGCCAGTGACAGCATTACTCTTCTGTGACGTAACCACACGGAAGTCGAGGGACCAATTTTTTATGATGCGCTGAACACACAAGTGAGAGACGCGCTCCAGGCATCGAGAGGCAGGTGAACGCATGTATGCGATACGTACCTATTAAAAACCAAACACAAAAAGTACACACACACACACACACAAAATAACAGAAATCTCTCAGTTAAGAGTTGTGTGTGTGCCTCATTTCTATATTAGGGCGTGCTATAGGACTGGTTGGAGGATATCGCGCGTTATGTACGTTACGAAATAGCGCAAACCACTCATCCCAGGGGGTAAAGGTACGCTACATTAAAGCCTGGGTCATATAGATTTGCGTTGAGTTGCAACCCAGTAGGCTCCATCCGGTTTTGAATTCGTTTGTGACTGCGTACGACCGGCTGCCCATTAGTGCAGCCAGTCGTATCCAGTCGCAAGAAGCTTCAAAACCGGTTGTGGCGCAGTCGGTTGTAGTCAAACCAAAGTGCGGGAACCATACTTTAGCTGCGAAATGTCACCCGTATAATACTTGTGTTGTGTGTATACTTAGACAGCGGGAAGTTGAGGCCCGTTCACACTATTGCAACCCAGTACGACCGAGAGAGACGAGACCTGTTGAAACCTTCTAACATATCTTAAGACGAGGAAACACACTGGCACTCTGGCGCCATCTGTGTGGTGGCCCTGGAACTGCATTTCACAAGAGCGAAGGTTTTGTGGGATTTCCGAGGTCAAATGTGCGTATTACCTATAAGAAAAGCTGGTTTATAACGTTGACAAACGTTTTTCTAGCCAAGAAATAAAGGATAATGCGCGAGAGAAATAGAAAATGTGCCGGACCGCCAAGTTTACACCGCTACCCAATAGATGGCGCCAGTGTGTGCTCTCGTTGTAAGAGATATTAAGAAGTTTCAAGGGCACTAAGTTCTAAGAGGTCGCAAGAGTGTGAGCGGACCTTAAGTCGGCCTCAATGGATTTTTGGTACGAGTCTCAGCTGAAAATAGGGAATTTAGCTCCTGCAGGGGGACCGCAGGCCTGGGGGTCTTTAACGTGCACCACGCAGTAGTGGTGCACGACTGCAAGCCGTAGCGATGCTCATCCAGATTGAAACGGACAGACCCGGGGACTGAACCCGAGATCCCTGGTTTCTGCAGCGCGAATTTTCACTCCACGTGCTCCAACCTGTGCTGCGTTAACACACTCGGCCACTGATCTTCCTCAGCCATACACATCATATGGATGTATATGCGCGACGAACATAAGTTAAAGGCTAACAAACAGACATGCACGCATACCGGAATAATATTGGTGTGCGTACACATATATGCAGGTTCGTTAGCTTTTAGATCTGCTTAATTACGTCTTTATGTATACGATCAAAATACGTACAAATGATTGAGTATGGCCTTCCTTGGGGTTTTTAATATGTCCGTGCAGTTAACGGGCCGTCTTTTAAGTTTTTACGGGTTGTTCTTTTAATCGGTGAAATCTTTAAAAAATCTAGAGCGCCTACTCCCCGCGAAGAACTTGGGAGAACAAATCGTTGCAATCTACGGAAAGAACTCCCCTAATGACGAAACTCATACGTTTAGACGTAAACAAAAAAAAATACCTGCTGTTGCACTGAGCATGGTGAAGCGCCATACTTCGATCCACAGCGAAGACTGTTTCTTTAGGTGCAAACATATTTGTAGCTGGTAATTACGCGAGCTCCCTCCGCATATACTGCAGTGATTGTACCTTCCACTTGTGCGTTGCGGGAAATTACACGCTCCGAATATCCCATGTCAGTTTGCGTCCGATTGCAGCCGATAGTATACAATCCGATGGAAGCCATCAAGCAGAGCCAAAAGTGTATTGTCGAGGCTTTCATCGCACCTGCGCCTTTGCTGTGACCCCGACTAATCAGGCACAATGCATGAGCCGCGTGATTGGTATAGCCGGTGATTGGCTTTGCGTGATTGGCTTATTTGGTCATAGTGAATTCATGATGAAAACAAGTACTGCTACGATACACCTTTGGCGCCCCGCCCAATTGGCTCCACCGTACCGTAGCGTCGACTCCAGTCGAACTTAAAGAGAAGCGGGAGTATAGCAACTCAAAGGTAACAGTAGACAAAAGAGGTTTTAGGCTACTTACACTGTTGTGTGCGTGCAATGTGTCTTGAAGGTAGTCGTAGTGCGGCAAGAAATACCCACCACTTCCATAGTTGGCCAGCTTCACATTGGCACAAAGTAGGTCAAGTTAGAAAACAAAAAGCACAGCCATTAAAACTTCCAAGTCTTATAGCGGTAAAAGAGATCTCTTATTCTGGCAAGCGTAGCAGTGAGCATCTTGAGTTCCTTAATTTTGTTCACGCTGGATTTTTCTTACGGGCATCCACAACATATAATATTTGAGTTTTTAACATCTGTCACGAGCGAGGCTTCTAAAAGCATTAGGTTTTTGATGGCTTAGTTGTCCGTCCCACGGCTCTGCCTCTTCAAGGGTTGTGTGCACGAATTCAAGACTCGTGCCTCAACAAACATGTCGCTACACATAAAAAAAAACAAAAAAAACATGACTAGGTTTTTACGCGATCGCATGTCCATGCATAGCAGTTCGTACTGCACATATTACTGATTTTACGGTCAATGACTGTCAACGCTTCCAAAGACAGTCTTGAAAAAAAACAAAAAACACTGACACTCTCCAAAACACTTTTTTTTGCAGGGCGTTTTTATAGGATATTAGGAAACTACCCAATCAATATTTTGCTGTAGAGCCACGTATTTTTTTTTAAAAAGCCAAAAAATTCAAATGCCCTAAACCGAGCCTGTAACACGAGCACGGAAGCTCATGGCCGGAAGTCACGTGCCTACACTCGACGGGGTTATTTTTTTTCTCCGTTTCTCTGACGCGTGAACCAGACGACGACAACACCAAAATTGCGTGAACCGTTTGTCGTGCGATCGTTTCGCACTTATTTTCTTTCCGCTCGATGCTCTGCGCTTTAAAATCGATTGACCGGTACCAAGAACGACAGTTCCGAAGAGCCGGTCCCACGTCCGTCGCAGCGTTAGTCCGTCGTGTGCGTCGTCCATCGCGTCGTCCATCGCGTCGTCCATTCCGCGGTACGTCGCCTTATTGAAAACGACGTGAACATGTACTCTCTGTAATCTTTACAACGTGCTTTTGTTTTGTCGATCAACGTATTTAGAGGTTCTATGAGGTCACAAAATGGTGTTCATGTTTTTTTCTATTTTTAAAAATGAATGTCTGGCTGAGATGACCCACGACTTTGAATATATTTGGTACAGATACTTTCAACACCACGTGACCATGGAAAAGAGAGTGAGCGCGACTGGAACCGGCTTATTCTCGACGGGTTGTTTCCCGGCGGAAAGAAAACGAATTTTGAGCCGCAAATCTTGTTTTGATAGTTGGGTTATCATAGGTCACGTTCAAATAAACCCATTCGGCGGGCATAAGTACTTGTCAGTGTTCCTTTAAGAATGCTGTTTCCAAATGAATCGGAATGCCTTTGATGAAGACCAAGTTTTTTTGCATGAAAAGGAAAATCATCTAACCTGGTATGCTTCCGCTTCGTATTCGGAGCCCGAGGTGCCCAAGCCTACGAGCGCCCGCAGATACCAATTCATTCTTTTTGCGATCGGTGCCTCGTCATCCCACAGCCACGCACTGCCAAAAAGTGTGCCGCAAAAAGAAAACGTTATGAGGCACGCAGAATGTTTAACGTCGCAATAGGTGCATCGTTGGGTTAGAAAATCGCACTCTTATCTGTTTGAACGGTTTTACAGTCATCTGTGCCCGGCGCCAACCAATGTAACTGAGAGCTTAACTAAACGCGGGGTGTAGCAATGTCCCGAGTCTATTATAATACCTCAGCAGCCAATGAGATGTCAGCCTTTGCCGATAAAAACGCCAAAGAACCAATTACGATGCTAGAAATGAGAATACTGTAAGCAAGATCCTGCCTGTCTTAAGGTCGTCTTTGACTATAGGACGCAATGTGCGAAACAAGGAATGAACACAACACGCACTTTACAAAGGCAGGTAGGCCTATGCCGGTCTTTTTTTTTTAATATTAGCAAGTTCTACCGTAATTCTGAAAATAAATGCAATCTCTAGCTTATCAACCCTTTTCTATTTAACTATCTAATTTTGTTCTTCAGGTTTCAGTTTGTAAGGACGCGAAACTCGCAGAGGTCAAGCAATGTGCCACCTTTTTCGTTCCTAGGTCCCTCAGCGTTAATTCTTGTCGACATGGTAACCCTGGAGCGAGGAAACAGAACGGGAGGGACCGACACGAAGCTCCAGACTTTACTTTAAGATGTCTTTTTATTGTGATGAGTAGCTATTACATCTTGGGCTACTCAGTGGTAGCAGTTCAGTAAGGCATCCCCCACTGCTTTAGCAACTGGTCCTGAAGTTGTAAATTTTGAAATCATAAAGAAGACGGTTAGCATATGATCCGCTGACTTGACATCAATGATCACAACAGCTCGACATGTCAAGATCATACTATGAACAGTCATTTGGAGTCGTCGAGCCAATCAATCAACGAACCGAGCAATCAATAAACGCAACTTCAACGTGACTATATGAATCTGTAATGTTCATTTTGAAGCATCGTCTTAGATCGATGTCTCTTGATTCCTGAACTCATTTATTAATGAGAGCTATCTTATGACGTTAATTGCTCGCAGGTGCCCTAGTTTTGTATTAGAACATGGTCAGGGAAGCGATAAGTGCTTAGTCGGAAGCAACCTGAGTATTGACACTTGGCACAGATCGATATTCTCTATGAATTAAACGCAAAAAAAAAAAAAAATCTGCCGGGAAACGCAGAATTTTTACGACAAAAACTAACTTGGCTTTCAATAGAAGTATAAGCCCAGATATAATGAGAGAAATAGAAATACATTCCCCCAAAATATTTTTCAATAACTGTGGAATAGAAAATTTCAGAAATTCCTTTCTGATTTGATCGGTTCTACGTTTAGAAGGTGAAGCAGTTTTTGTATTTGTAGTTTTAGATGTAGTTGTAGTACCTCAAATATTTGTTCCAGAACGAATATTACCAGGGTCTTCCTAAGCAGAGTAAGTGATAAACTCTAATAGATTAATTAAGTCATTATGTTACAAAAAAGCTTAGAGCAAGTCAATATTACTTCGAGCTGGTTCGTCTTGTGGACGGTACATTTCCATCCCCGGTATACGTTGTGGACCGTTGCAGCTGTTGTAGAAATAAAGGAGAACATAAATAAGTGAACCAAGTAGCACATTAGAACACCACGAAAGGAGATTTCTTCGGTATTGTTCTACAATGACCATTTCACCTACATAACGCATAGAATTAAAGTACGTTTTTTTTTACTCGTTTTTTTTTGTGAAATGTAGTTATGAGGTTTGTATATTTTTCGTCTTCAACTTCCCTCTTTATTTTAAACCGGCTGCTCGCCTATTCAATAAAAAAAGGCAATTAAGATGTATTGTTTGGCGAGTAAAAATGTGTTTATTCAGGGAAGAGAGTTCAGTCTCAAGCTTCATGTCGGAGTGACTCTGTAACATTGGTATAATATGAACGCTGAGAACTTCGCTACAACGCTGCGTCTTCGGTTCCGAGCTACTCTTGACGTTCTACCCTCGCCGTAAACTCTCTGCCACTCAGCCAAGATATAGTGGGCTAGAAGGGGAGGTTTGACGCTCTCGCGGTCTAGAACGGTCCGGCCATTCAAGCCCACAGAGTGGAGCATAATCTGTAGGCAGGAAGCAGTGTTGACTCACTCTCCAGAGCTAGAAGAGAATAAGATGCTAACAAAAACGAGCGAACTGAGCATTTCCTTGTAATCTGCAGCCCACGCGATCGTCACACCTTTCCTCGCCTTCCATAATCAGACTTGCTTGATGCTGACTGTAAAAAAATTAAAAAAGGAAAGCGACGTGGCGGCTTATTGCCGACTCCACCGAAATCGACGGGCTTGTTCGCCAGCCTTCTTGGGCTACTCAGATATTAACTGCACGTGGCGGTCTAAAGAACAGGCTGCGAGAGTAGGTTCGAAAACTCGCAAGGAACATCGCCAATAGCCGCTTCGAAATTCCAATCCCATAAGAGGCACCCGGTGCGCTTCCTGAAAATTATCGCACGTGGAAGAAAATGGGCTTCCGGTTTCCCATCACCAGCTTCCGGTTCGCAGCCTTGTGAACTTTCAGAATGGATGTAGTCTTTGATGAGGAAGGAAGCGGTTCGCAATCTAGAATTGCATGGTAGCCTCTACAGCGATCGGGACTAAGAAAGTTCTTGACAGATCGGTTAAATCATCCAAAAAATAAGGAAAAATTAGTCCTTTGATGCCTAGACAGCGTGAGGTTAGTCTGGCAGAGCATATTACGACACTGCTACACGCTGTGGAGAAGAAGCTTTGTCAGCGCGGTACGACAGCTATATAGTCTAGGACCTTTAACTGACACCACGCTGTAAGGATACACGATCGCACCCCAGTACGATGCATATCCATATTGTAACGTGCAGAAGGGGAGATTGAAGCAAGGAGCCCTGAGTTCTGTGAACCATCCGCAATATCAATAAATGCGCTGCCAATTGGGACTGCATAATGATGGGATACTAAACATTAGTTTTAGGGCTTGGCGTTGATTAAAATTTTTAACCCAATTAATCACCACCCTTCAATCTATAAATTAATCGATTGATCGGCCTCCTTTACTTCCAATTTTAATACTTTTTACTTTTTTTTGTCATTTGCAATATACGTGATACAGGGCGCAATAAAGAATTTAGATTATGAATAACTTCCCATCCGCAATATCAATAAATGCGCTGCCAATTGGGACTGCATAATGATGGGATACTAAACATTAGTTTTAGGGCTTGGCGTCGATTAAACTTTTTAACCCAATTAATCACCACCCTTCAATCTATAAATTAATCGATTGATCGGTCTCCTTTACTTCCAATTTTAATACTTTTTACTTTTTTTGTCATTTGCAATATACGTGATACAGGGCGCAATAAAGAATTTAGATTATGAATATCTTAGGTGTGCCGTTGGGAACAGTTCAAAAACACTCTCACTCACTGATTATTACTTCAGCTGCATGAGGCAAAAGAGGTTCGTTTATATTCTCCTCCAAAAGGGAAATTCTATGATTTTTTTACAAAGGTCTCTACTGAATTAAACGGACGGTCACACGGTACTGAAGTTGCCGGGGCATGTGTGATTTTCTGCACTTGTCTGGAGATTCGCATCTACAGTGCACTTTATGTTAAGATGTTACTGAACGTTTGTCCTTCATACAGGTGTACTCGTCCCCGACTTCGTAGTGAAAGCGTTAGATTTTTTTATCTTTTGGTTCGTCAAAAGTTTACCGATTAACAGGTTAAAATAAATAATATCGAATAAATAAGTAATCAAATAGTCGGCAGGTTAACCGACCGATGGTCCAGCCCTAGCTGATTTCGGCAGTAACTTATATACAAGCCTTTTCTGCCTAAGGAGCAAATGGTGCTTTTAAAGATAAGCAAAAAGCAGGGTCCTTCTTACCCGTGGCTCAGCGAAGGCCATCAGGTCTTCGATGTCTCGCTCTTGAACGACGTCGCGCATTACGATGATGTAAGGCTTAAGATTGATTTCTTCGAGCTTGATTGGGTGCAGTGTAAAGAAGCCATCTTGTCCCTCGTAGTAGCGGCACCTCAGCTTGCTGTCCATCTGAGGAGTCTGTTAATGAGATAGGCGACATTTTCTTTTTCCTGCAAGACCTGAGATAGCATGGTACAAGACATGCCAACTGGGAATCCTCGTTGGATGTCACGTTTCGAATGTGTGATACGCGAAATGCAGTAGTACACCGATTAAGAATTTAGAGCCCATTATTCGCTGTACTATTTAATGAATAAATTAGTGGCATAATTTGTACAATTCGAAGGCCGATAAAATAATCAGATTTATACGAAATTTTCAAGTCTATTATACCTTGGGGAACATAATAGACCCTTTTCAAAAGTTGATCGAGCAACATTGGCTGTCGCCGTTTTTTGTCACAAAGCGTGTGATTGGATCCGAGACCTTGCCGAACAATGACGCAGCCTTCGTGTCCAATACATGTTCAGATGACGTTCCCAAGCAATGCCGGATTCAGAAAATTGGCGCCGCAACAGCGTCAAGGTGGCGCTCACTTTGGGGAAGGGTCTGTCTCTAGGTGTAGCATACTCTAGCGGTAATGGGCGTCGCATAGTTTAGCGGTGCCGAAAATTCGTGTTTTATTTAGGGGATATATTTTTGGTTAATTATAAGTTTGGCGTAGACAGTATATTTGCTCGAGGGCTAATGTCTAACGGTATTTGAAGAGGTGTCAGGAAGAACCGAAGAAAGCTTTTTGCTAACGTCACGTTTCCGGGGACTGTATTCGTCTTAACAATAACAGTAGTAAAAAAAACAACGACTTCACGCGGAGTATAACTAACCCCCCCCCCCCCCTTTTTTTTTTCTTGTGCGTGGGCAATCAGCGTTGCTGCACCTGCATTTCGAACTGACATTTAAGAAGGTGGCGGCACGTAAAACTGCTTTTCTCTTATCCTTGCCTGCGGTTTCATTTCAAATAACGAGCGGTTTAAAACAAAGTCGTTAGAGGACCGCCACTCCGAATATAAATTTGCATCGTGTTTAAGAGTCAATATAAGATTTATTGCACGCTGAATGTGCACTTGTCACGTCCGAGTTATTTTCGTCGAGCCTGGTAAACACGAACTGCATTTTGCGTCTGTTTCTTTCTATCTTCTGTAGTTCAAACTTTTTTTTAAAGACAAAACGAAGACGCATATGTAATGACCTTTACGCAAGGGAGCAGTACCGAAATCTATGGAAAGCACCTTCTCATGGAACGGGGGGTTATTTGAGCCGTGCGATGTGATTACAGGAGAGGAGGCGATCCTTTACTTTCGCTCAACTATGGTCCCATACTATGCCGCCAACTGCCGAGTTTACCGCGTCCCGAAAAGTGGTCCCTCGATTTTCGCCTGATGACGTCAGATAAGTGTCATGTTATCGCCTGCAGCGATCCTGGCGTGGCGGTGTTACTACAGCGATGGTGAACGTGGCTTACGTCTGCTCTGTTTAAAGCTCGCTCTACAGCTTGGTTGTGCTTAGATCCTCCAGCAGTCAGGAGTTGGGACGCCCCGATAAAAGCGACACTTGAATTCGCTCGTACGTTTCGCCGGCTCTTCTTGCACCAACCGCCAGGATCGCAGCATACGGCAGCGTGACAGCCGGTTTCAATGACGTCATTCGTAGCCACTTCTGGGACACTTTGTATGCATGGGTAGGATTTAGGACGCCAAACAAAACGGCCGATGACGCGTCCGAGGTATACCATAGCCCAACCGCGTTCATTATCGCGTGTGCGGGATTCATTAAATGAAGATATTTTAACACTTTTCAATGGTCCGTCACGAAAGTAACGTAGCAGAGGAGCTGAAACTTTACCCTGAGCACTTCACCGCGGCAAAGCCGCCTGTAGTTAAGTTCCTCCTGATCTGCTGGCAGCTCCTGGAAGAGCTGGGCCTTGGACTCTGCAGACTGCCTCGTGGGATCTCGGACAGGTTCTCCGTTTGTCTGCAAAGTGTTCTGCTATTTTAGGTCAGCCATTAGCCAGTACTTCCGATACGAATTTGATTGTTTTTAATGCGGAGCTATTAAGGGCGAGGTTCCCCAGAATCGTGTCCGGTATGTCGACGCAAACCTACCTGGACAGCTACCGCCATCTATAAGCGACAGCGGCAAGCACACAACCAATATGGCTTCCGCCACCACTCGTAGATGGCGCCAACCCTTCCAGCTATAATAGATGAATGGATAGTTGGGCGCCGTTCGTGGGAATTCATCGTAGGAAACAGCGCGAAAAACAGACGACGACGTAGAACAAGTACACAGTGTATCGAGTACAGCTCCGCTGGTCTTCCTTCTTCACGAAAATGGAAAGGCTGATCTTTTTTTCCCTGGTGAAGCACTTACTGGTGGCGGTGCGTAGCGGTACGGTTAAAGTTCTAACATGAAAGGACAAGGCCGACAGGGAGTATCTCTAACTTGGGCTGCGTTTCGGAGCCCGAACAACCACTGCCCAACAAACTTATTTTATGCAACCCGTTATAATCACCGACTGGTGGAAAAACGTAGAGAGTAGCTTATCATGTTCACCCGTCTGGCTTTGGGATTAAACCTTCGACTTTTTTATCGGCGAATTCAGCAATTTTATTGGCTGCAGGGCAACATTAATTTGAACGGAACTCGCTATAACTTGCGTGTCATAAGCCGTCAGAGACTATACACCCTTAGATAAGTAAACTAACCGATATATAGTTATCCCTCTCAGTCTTTTATTTGAACAGAAGTTCTATTATCAAATTTTGTTTTAGTATTTAACGATATACTATTGCGGTTGTGTCTTTACCCGGCAGCTTTCGGTAACTTCACGCGTTTTCACGTGCCTTAGCTCAACACTGTTAACTAAATTCTAGTATTTGACCTGATTGTATTCACAAGCATTTGGACTGATTGACAACCCTGTGACATTATCTCATAATTATTGGTCTCGATCAGGCATGTAAATTTCTTGGTTAATGACGTTTATGAGGCCCCGGGTCACTGAAGCTAAACCCGGTTCGAGTAATCCTTAAAGATTTATTTCACACGCCCCGGTTTGCAAGTCATACGTAAATCTACCAGCGGCTCAACCTCGGAATATCTCACGTGAAAAGCGTAGATCTCAGAACCTTATTAACGATGGCCTCGTGATGCGTTTCCAGTTCTTGGTTGGGGATTGTGGGGGGTTCTTCGTCGGCGGCCTTGGCTATCGCCCGCTCGGCCCAATCCATGGCGCGGTCGTATAAACCCCATTCCAGAGCCGCCTGGCTGATGTTCAAGCAATCTCGAGCTGTCGGTGCAGAAAGGAAGAAAGTGGAGATGATAAGTGGCACTCCAACAAGATTGTTTTGCCTGTGGGTCAGTGGCACGTTGTTCTCAATTGCAGTGTATGAGTATGGCTGCTTGCGCGCAGAGGTTAGTAGCCTTGCATAAAAGTTTTACACACTTTGAATATCCCAGAAACAAATAACAAGTTGAAAGTTTTGTATAGTCGAAAGGGCGCGGTCTCTACTTGAGCTGTTTCGGCACTGATTTCTACGGAAAATGTGACATTTAGCCAGTGCAGTACGCCTGGTAAGCTAGGCTCCAGAACGCGCATATTTCAGTCGGTATTTCAAGTGCGAACGCCAGCATTATAGAAACGGGCAGGGGTATGAAGCGATCCCAGGAAGGGCACATCAGATCTGCGGCGCGGGCTTTCAATATCGAGAAGATAAATGGCCTAGCTAAGTGCAAAATATAAATCAAAGCGAACTTAAATCGAACCTTAAATAGAAAAGTAATGTGCCGCATGTATAGATCATATTTTTGTAACACGAGTAAAGAACGTAAACATCGGACTGAATTCGGCTAAACCTTATATTGAAGGCGCGTCGTCCAGGAAAAAAATTCACGTTATATTAAAAACTTTACGAGCATCGTGTATATTTAATATAAAATTATATTTTGACCGAAGCTTTCACTAGCACCTTCATGCGCATTTTCTGGAACCGCACACCCAGAGGGGTATCTAACCTTAGAAGATAATTTGATAAAACCAGACGCGCTAGTTGCGGATGGTGAACTGTTAACGTTGCATACCATTGAGTGGAAGACGTCCATGAATTGTTCGGTTCCTCGGAATATTTGCGTGGAGGTGTCCCTCGGTCAGTTTATGCAAGTCCAGAGCGTACGTGTCCTGAAGTGTCACAAGCGACATCGCAAGCCCTGTGAAGTCCTCGTCCCACGGAAGCAGCCGTTGCTTACGCCATTCTTCGATGTTCACCAGAGGATCTGCAAGTGTTCGTGGAGAAATGGTCTGCTGTACCGTCAATACTAAAACGCTCCAGTCTAAGAAATGCCTGTGCGTCTACTTAGCCCCAAAACACTCAAAGAGCCACTCTCTGCGCGGTCTATGAAATGAGCTCAGCAAATGATAAAGCGGAACATCCGTTTCGAGCTAAAAATTAAGTCTTCGCAGTGGCATTACGCAACGCAAAGCGTCACGCTTTCATTGCCTAATACCACAGCGCAGACTTAATTTTGAGGTTTAAACTGATGTTCCGCCTCATCATTCGCTGAGGTGATTTCATAGATCGCAGAGACTGGCTCTTCGAGTGTTTTAAGGGTAAGTAGGCGCCCAGGCATTTCTAAGGGTGTTATTCTATAATCGTGCGGATACACGTATAGATGTAGTCCCCTGAGATCGAATAATTGCAGATAAGACGTTATTATGCTTAATTAGAAACTTACGGTAGATGTATGGTGGTTCGGAAGTTATCTTGATTCTCCGCAGGAGGTGGTATAAAATGTAACACTTTACATTACAAAAAACAAGTGCACTAGTTCCCCGTGATTTCAGTTAGGGCACGCGACAATATGATTTTAATTGTCGCAGACAACTTTAGAAACGTGGGGCTTAGCCTATTATGTTAACCTATCTGTCCTGTGATTCGTCATCGGGCGTCCTTATCGGCTTATAGCGGAGTTTTATTGGCTATGGAGTGGTAATAAGATACGATTGATACTCGCGACGCCCTGCGTTTGTTGAGATACCAGTGTCTCTATTTTCTAGTAAACGTACAAGGTGCTGATGAGGCCATTACTTCTTTTGTCGAAGTACCTGATTAGTCTAGAAGCCTTTTCTATAGACCTTACAGACCTTTTCACCCGTCCTTGCATGAGGGCTGCCATCTTGAAATCACGTGATGCGGCCGCCATAAGGCTGATTTAACTCGTCGCTCCACTGTCCTCTCCGCGGCTTGGAAGATGTGTTGTATTCGCATTTTTCGTCGTTTTCAAGGCGTTTTTCTTCCTACTACTTAACTGCATTACATCATGACAACATGGTAAAATTCTGCAGTTACATTTGTATTACGTTTTGACTATTTTCACCGCCGGCCTACCGTTACCTGTGATGAGGCCATATGATGCACGGGATTCAACGTGAGCACTGGCGAAGTTGAATATATAGATGGTTCTAAGATAGGGCGAGGGCTCAAAGGCCAATTAGTTATGACAGCTCGGGTTTCCTTACAAATAGCGGTGGAACATTCGCAAAAGACGCAAAAAGTTGACAGAAACAATTAGTGTAAACAGCAACTATCTGTTTCCTGAAAGCATATCGTCATTTGTATTCACAACAGAGGAAAAACCAGTTGCTTTAAAATATATGGGTGAACTCGCGGGGACGAGAGGCCACGAACGTTTAACGTGCATTTTATTCGATGCTAGGCATCGTGGTACGTCTACATCAGGCTATTTGTTTGCTTACAATGTCACGCCTACATATGTATCACATTCTTAATATTTTTTTGTAATATAAACATTAATCGCCTCATCAAAGTAGTTATAAATTAAAAAAAAATATACTCAATGCTTTGTTTTTACCTACAGCCTATCTGATGGTTTAATAATGTGCTTAAGATAACTAGTTCAATTAGATTAATTTATTTAAATACAAAAGTGTGGACTTCCCGAGTAAATAACGGTCACAGATAGCTTGAGAGTGCCTGGGGCTCACAATATATGACGCCGAGAAAAAGCCGTCTGCGTGAAAATCACCCGAGTGCGGTGTTTTCGTTGGCAAATAGAAATTTACTTCCGCTGGCTGGCGACGCCAAAATCTATAAAGCGCATCTGTTCAAACAAGTAAATATTTCTCTACACAGGCCTATCATGGTGCCTGATGTTAAACTTTTGCAAAATATTCTGAGGTCTCTTCTATTGCGCACGGTAATTTTATTTACTAAATTTTATGGAAGCCGAATGTCGGGTTTAATTGAACCGTCTGTCATTTATTTTTTACCTCGGGTATGCCGTAAGCAAATGTTCATTTTCAAAGGCCAACATTTCGAGTACCTTAGGAGGGCCGATAATAAAAGAAATGTCCAACTTTGCCGTGGTCGGACTATTAAAATATTCCTCGAGAACTAAATGTTCCCAAAGAAAAAGTTATAGATACAATATCTATTCTTTCGATAGATTCTCTGCATTAACATAGAATACTTTTCACCCTGCGTAGTTCAGAAAAGTTTATGTCAACTGAAAGCAAACTGTGAGCAGTAAATTTTCAAGTTTATCTGTTCTTTGCGATTCAGCACATTGTTCATCGGGTTTTCGACCTGCTTCCCCACCATGCAAAAATGCATTAGTCTCTTCATAAGTTTATTTTTTCTGCAAACTAGTGTCATCAGGTACAACCGTAGGCGATGTGAATCCTCCATGTGCATCAGTTCAGTCGTTTCATCGCCGAACCTAGCCAAAATAATTATGAAAGTAATCAGATGCATCAAACGTGTACGTGAAACTGCACGCAATTGATGTTGGAATTGGAAAACCACTTTGTGGGCGTCAAAGTGGCTCAGTACCACTGTTTCGTTGGTTGTGGGCTACAAGGGCCAAATTTCTATGACCAAGTTGAGAAAAAAAGATAGAAAGCAGCAACACAGCCGTGTGCACGTCCATAACCAAACCAAACAAACTGAAACAACCTAATGGCAGCGAATGCGTCAGCACCCTCTATCCGCTGGTCAGCGACTACTGAGATGAAAAGGTCTATATCTGCCTTCTGTGAACTGCCGTCTTTGCAACCGAACTGTGAAACGGGCCCTGAATATATGTGTAGTAGCTTTCTTCTGCAGAACATCGGACGTTTCGCATATACTTTTACATGGCATTATTTTCCTGGGAGATAAGCTTCTAATGTTCTTCTCCAGCATGCGGATACGGGCTCGGTGGTCTGCTAACTCGATAATGTAACAGGAGAAGTAATTAACGGGAATTTACCCGAAAACGTATTTGAATATGAGCCAGAAAGTGTTGTGTTTTGTCCGCATTCCAGTTTCCGCATATCACGGAACAGTAACGAAAATGGGCGTTTCATTCTTCTGCGTGTCTTAGCGTAGCAGACAGAGGTCGACATTTTAGGTCGTCCTCACTCACCCTCACCCTCCCAGCCACACTCACCTCAGCTCCTCATTCACCCTCATCCTCACAGTCGCACTCACCTTCAGCCTTTCACACACCCTCACTGAACCTCACGGCTGTCACGCCCCTCACGCGCTCATGGCCCTCACACACTCATGGCCTTCACGCACTCATGGCCTTCACGCACCTCACGCCCCTCACGCACACACCGCCCTCAAGCCCCTCACGGCCTTTGCGGCCCTCACGCCCTCACACCTCCCACGATCTCACGGTCCTCACTCAACCTGACACTCATGAATTTTCGGGGTTCAGAAACTCACTCTCCTTCCCCACACCTATAAGGATGAGGATATGTGAGGGTGAGTGAGGGCCATCATGGGTGAGGTTTGCCGAGGTATGGCAGCAGATTGCTAAAGGAAGCGAATTATACACTTGGTTCTGTGGGTGAAGCTATGAGGTGTTTGTGCGACACCAGTGACAAAGATTCTATTCTCCAAATGCATTTGCAAGTATTTCGAGTTGAAATTCAGAGGTGTGTGACAACGTTGATCCACATTTCGCAAGTTTCTTATGGGATGTATTCGCTTCTAACCATAGCACTGTGCGTTGCTGATGAGCGCCTGCGAAACACTGAATCGTTAGGATGTAAAATGTTTATTATATATCATAACATTATTGATTTAACGTGCCGCGTAATATTTCGGCATTAGAAGTCGCGCCGCTACGGTAAACAATGCTCAGTATCGTCCAGAGTTACCTCGCTTTCGGTCCATACAGTTCGATGAGGACTGTACGGTATGCGATTAGTGAGAGTATTTCCAATCTGAATTTATTTGCTGGCCGCTTGACAACCTTGAAGGCCCCCAACAAAGACCTCGGCCGTAACTGACCTCTATAATCCGGTTCGCAATATGTCCGACCAACGCTATGCGGAGCGCAAGCTCATCTGCTTCTTGCGCAGGGGGGTGTGACGTCAGAACGCCGAGCTCTAATTGGTTCTCATTGGAAGGATAGAGGGTGGACTTCAAGGTAGCTAGCATTGGGGTCTACCCACTATCCTTCCATTCAGAACCAATCAGAACTCGGCGTTCTGACGTCACCACAATCCCTGCGAAAGAAGCAGACGAACTTGCGCTCCGTATAGGATCCGAAGGCGCCAATCAACCAGCCCCAAAAGTCCGTCGTCAAAGTGCTCGCCGTGTTTGCGCGTCACCGGTCATCGGCTAAACCAGTCACGCACACACACACAAAAGAAAGTGACAGATCGCGGCACATTAACTGTGAGCAATTGATTTAGCCGCAGATAGCTTGCGAAGAAAACGACGAGCGTCATGGCAATACACGTTTGCGCTGCCTGATTGCCTCCGTCTCATCGTACCATTAGCTGCGGGCGGACGCATTGTGAAACGCAGTGTATATCATTCTTCAGGTGTCATCCAAATGCCGGTAACAGGTTAAGAACTTAGTAGATGCTCCGCCTCCAGCACGCGGGCTCGTGGCCTTCCGTTGGCCGCGCTTGCGACGAAGTACAATACCAAGGGAAGAAAGCTCGCGCTCGAGACGGAGCATCTACAAAGTTCTCAACCTGTCATTGATCATAAAATGTTTCTTTTTTTCTTTTTTAAGAAGTGAAAAGACATACCAAACTCTCGCGTTTTGTTGATCTGTGCTTCTATGGCCCCCAGGCCAGCGGTCATCCTTTTGATCAAGTGGAAGGCGTGCACCGGGTGCTTGAGGTATTCAGAGACAGCGGACGGTGACCTCAAGTCATCATAGGGCTGTCTGTCCTGGACGAAGCTGCCGAGAATGAAAAGCGCCACGGAGCTCACGTTAATATTTTGAAATTCAACGCCCCGATTTCTAAAATTTATTATATTTTTATTTCCATTTTCTTTTTAAATATGCTTTATGTTTGCATTCGCGTCGTTGATTCAACTTTCGAGGTAAAAACGCGAGTACAAACAAGAACAAAACTAGGAAAAGTTATGTTGAAAAACAGCGCGACTGGGACGAGGACAAATGACGAAGAGACACAAGACAAGCGCTGTCATGTGTCACGTGATTGTGACGAAGAGAAAATCACGTGATTGTCTCTTCGTCTTTTGTCCTCGTCGCAGTCGCGCTGTTTCTCAACATGAACTATTGCCAACTTGCCCAGTTATCTCTCCTTAGAAGAAGTTATATAAAAGTCCCATATTACCTAGTAAATACAAACTAAACATCAACTAATAATTTAAAAGTATATGCAGGAGCGTAGAAAATAACCCCAAGAAACATTCGAGCAATACTCAAGAAAGTCACAGCTTGGCGATTTAAGACAAGATGGTTCATACGTAAAAGGTTTGTAGGAATCGCTGTAAGTGGTCAGGTTTAAAAGTCCCTGTTTCTTTGGTATACTCCGAAAGAACTGCATATGACTAGCATTTATTAATCCGCCGCGATGCGTACCTGTTTAAGCGCCGTGTTTAAGCGCTGATTACACTAATCAGTTTGTTTTGCATGCTGTTTCAAGTCAGTAGGCTTATTTTAGTTATGACGTCTAAAGGCTTTTGGAGTATTCTCACAAGTGGTGAGAGACGCAAGAAAAGTATTCTGAGCATATATGTAAACATTCATATATGCTCCACCTTTTTCATCCCCTCGCTCAGCCTACGCTAGACGGACGGAGGCCCATCCGGAAGACGCTACTTGCCAACACTGGCAATTTTATGCATCAAACAAACGCAAATATCTTAGTTGCATCACGTGGTGCAGAACGTCCCTGTCCCATTTTATTAGCAAAGAGCATAGCTCGGCGAGTTGTTATATATTCATAATGGAACAGTGCGAATTTTACAGGGGCAGAGGAACGAACTGGACAGGACGGGCGCTGTCCCCTTGTCTTCCAGTTTACGAAAACCGCCATGGATCTATAAAAATCTTATGTTGTGCACCAAACCTATTGCCCCGTTCACAAATCCTCCCTATTCTTTCCCAAGCCCTCCCTTTTCGTATCGTGCGGCTTGATTGCAGCAGAGTGATAGGGGAACCTACTTTAGTATGTTGTCTCGAAGAACTTTGAGGCGTTCTACGTAGCCGAGGAGGTCAGCCTTTACTTGTTTTTCCACGTGGACGAGATCCGAGAGCGTGGACACGGTCGTGTAGAAGTCTGTGTTTTTTTGGCCTCCCGAATGGGTCGCAAAGCAGCAGAGCAGCACGACCACGTTCCAAAAGTGCCTGTTGGTAGGATAGAGATCAGCAGATATGGCATTGTGTACAGTCACCGACTGTTAAGAAAAGTGCAAGGTTGTTATGTTCAGTCTTCTTTCTTAGTGATTTCTTCGGTTTTTTTTTTTTTTAAACAATAATGTTTCAATCTGATGAACTGCGGTGCGATAATGATCAATCAATCATTCTTTTTTGTGAGGCTTTGGGGAGAACGAACGGAGCACCGAACTCTCAGCACTGATCACGCCCGGCGTTTCATAACTATTCGTGACTAAGCGGGCAGGAACTGAGGAAAAGGAGGAGGCAAGAACGCGCGGGGGCGTCAGGCAACCGTCAGGACGCCGAGCCATGGTTGGATTAGTGGGTATAGACGCAAAGCTAACCGCCTTTGCCTCCACTGCACTCGTCGAACACGTTTTAGAACGCGGAACGCCGGCGTTCGGCGTTTGACGTTCACGCCCGAACGCGTTCGTCGACTGCAATGGAGACAAAGGCAGCTTCGCGGAGCGCAAGTTCGTCTGCTACATTCGGAGGAGTTGTTGTGACGTCAGAACGCAAAGCTCTGTTTAGCTCGGATTGAAGAATAGTGGGTAGAGCTCAAAGTAAGCTGCCTTGAGATCTACCCACTATCCTTCCATCGGGGCCAATCAGAGCTCGGTGATCTGACGTCACCACAACCCCTGCAAGAGTACCAGACGAACTTCCTCTCCGCATAGCTTGGCGTCTGCCCACTAATCATTCTAACCAGAGCTCTTTGTTCTGGCATCTCCGCGCACTCTCGCCTCTTCCTCTCCCTCTGTATCTGCCCGCAGGGTCATAAGGGCGATAAAAAGGTGCCCTCTTGACCACTCAAAAAAAAATATATATATATATATATATGTATATATATCTGAAACGTCTAAGTGATCGCACGATCATCGCACACTAGTAGGCCCTGTTTAGAATCTTCTTAATCATTATTGGCCGTTGTCATTTGTTGGAAGTGAAGCATGCGATCGAACCCAGTCCCTTGCCGAACGATGACGCAGCGGTCGTTCGCGATCTGAGCTGAGACTAGTTCACATCGAATGCCGACGCATGCCTCATGTCCAATACACTCTCAGAGTACGTTAGCTGTAAGTACACTGCGCGACCCATTTGGCTTAAATCGGACTTCGCCGTGTCTTCGGGTTTTGCTCCGACAGGTGCCACGACATTTCAGCCGCCGGCGCGCGGGGACTAGCTACCTGCGGGGCGGCTGCAGCAACACGAGCGCCAAAGAAACACGCCAGAACCACGAAGAAAACGGAATGGCCGTGGGGGAGGGGGTATGACGTCATAGGTGGGAGGTACCCAGTTGCGCTCCGCGCTTAGAGGTACGAACAAAAGGAGTGACGTTAGGAGCTGCCCGGATGCACTGCTCCATCTGGTAGAGAGTTCTCAACTGGACTTGAGCGCACGACTTTTTCATCCGAGTAGCGATTGTGGAGATCATTATGATCATGATAAAAGCAGCAACAATACGTGAATAAGTGTATTAAAGCTAATGTGTTTTCATGTGTTCAAGTATTTCTAAATATTAGTTTTGTGTCCACTGCGTGCAAACAGCCGGACGATCGAGCTGCACTTTAAACTGAACGGTAAAAGTAACTGTATAATTTAACTGGATAAGTGAAAGGAGATGTTCGTGAATTGTTTATGCACCTTACCACACCATATTGAAAATTTATATAAAAGCATTTATTCGGAGTTATATGAAGTTTTGTTCCCCATGGCGCGAAATAGACCCTACTCCCTCTTGAAATGTAGCTGGGTCCTTCGTTACCGAATACCCACCCCACCGTCGTTATGCGTGTCATCAGGTATACTTCTGACGGGAAGAGACCCTACTCTCTCTGAAAATATGACTGGGTCCTTACTTCGTTACCGAATAAAGTAACGAGGTACAAGTAACCTGTTCCGAACAAATCTTATCCTGCGCTTTTATAAAGACGCCCCTAATTTCGAAGCTGTACTTTTTTTCTCGTTCTTCCGTAGCAGAAATATCATATTGCCAAGAGATGAAGAAAATTAACCGTACAACAAGTCGACAGGTATTCGAGACTTAACTAAAACAACATAACTCCAGAAGTGTCGAGCGCTGTCGGGTTCAGCAACCTTCCTCCTCTGCATATGCTTCTTTCAGCTGCCTTCAGGTGTGCAGCTGCTTTCAGCTGCACACCTGACGTGAATCTCCAAGGCTATAAGCCTTTGTCTTGTCATATTATGCGCCGCAAGTGTGCACTTTAGGAGACTGTAAACACCAAACAATCCAGGCAGGGATCTCCGCCTCCGAAAGCTGTCATTAAGCCGGGGTCACACTCCTTATACAACATACAAACGACACTCCTCAAACAGATTCGAACACGAGTCCCCTCTAGATCCTTGCTTCGAATGCCGCATTCCAATGAGTTCAAGGAGAAACTTACGCACGCGGCATTCGAACCACGGATATCGCGGTGACTCCTGTTGGCAGAATGTCTTTTGTCTATGATGTAGCAGGAGCAGTGTGAACCCGGTGGCAATCAGTTCGTCGAATGACGTTTCATGGACAAATCGTTTCGTCGACACTGCGATGTTTCATCGACAGATCGTTTCGTGGAAACGAGCACCCGCTCGTTTCATCGACAGATGTTGCGACGTTTCGCCGACAGCTCGCTCTGCCAGCTCCTGGCTCCGCCAGCGGCGCGCAGCCTTGTGTCGGATGGATGGATGGATGAAAGATGGCCGACTGGGCCAAGTATGGCGTACCAGTGCGCAGCCATCTTGCCTCACCAACTTAAACTATCGCAAATTTTTTTTCGCTTATCCTTTTTTTTTTTTTTGGGGGGGGGGGGGGGGGGGGGAGGGAGGGGGGAGGGGGCTCGCCGATTGCACTGATTTCGGAACTTACGATTTGAATGGTTTCGCTCGTGTCTTTGCCCGAACGTTTGGGGAAGCGTTGTCAAAGCCGGGAAATTTTGTTATCGACTAGTGTCCTTTCTCAAATTAGATTTTTAAAACAATATGCGCTGCTCTTGAGGGCTACGCTTTCGGCAGCATACGTGATCGAGGTGTCTGTACGTCATCGAATGCAACCCTTCGCGGGCTGGCCGCCGGCACTCCGACTGTTTTGAAAAAGTAGCAGGATCGTTTCCAGAGCAAGCGTATGTTTCCGCGCGTCGCGTCTATTGGCAGAATCCTCAAGAGCCACCTGAACAGAGCATAGATAGTCCACACGTCAAAACACTGAAGCTCTTAAAAACATTAAAAAGAAAATAAACTAGGCCTTCTTGCGATGCACACAGCCTTTCTACCCTTGAAAATTGCATAAAATCGGTTTTCAAGCTAATTGGCATCTGGTCTTAGCCGCTAGCCATAAACTTTGAAGGAGACTGAGCATTTTCCTACGCGTGGTTTACTTTTACGGTGATAAAACACGTTTTTTTTTCTCCTGCGAACACTAGGTATTCAACGTACTGTACTTACCATACCGCATACGATTTTT